CCCATTAAAATTGAGAACATTTACAGTTCCAATCGATTATTGCCTCAACAAGGCTCGCGTGTCCGCTAGATACTGCAACTTGGTTCGTTGGAATAAAACAACTTCCTTGCTCAACGAGCCCTGTGCCGACGACACAGAATTCATCAAGTCTCGCTGGTTCTGACAGCGAACACGAGCAGAGCCCAACTTCGTCTCCCGCACGCGGTGCAATGTCGGACAGTGCGTCTGCAGCACCGGGGGTGTACATCCTAGGCTTGATGTCGCGCTTTGCGCACACTATTAATGACGAGTGACCTCGTTGAGAATGTGGAGGTGGTCGACTACGAAAGTCATGTAGGTTTTATTTTAATTGAAGTATTATTTTTTTACATTTTATCATTAAATAATCTGACTTTCCTTTTCCCGCATGGGATGACGAGGAAGGCGAGCTGCGCCCTGCTCGCGCCTTGCGGACCCCATGACCATTCTCTGACTTCTCGTCACTTGAGGGACGTGGTGTAATCACCAATGATCTCGACGGGGCACGGAGGCGGCAGCTGGAAGCTGCCCGTAATGCGGCTCTGATGCGCGCCCATCCACGCCGGTCATTGACCCTCGTGTGAAATATGGCTTCCGCCCAATGGATCCCGCTGTGGAAGCGAAGGACGCGGTAACACGATCGTTACGCGTCCACATCATCGGCCCCCGGCCAGAACGGATGACGAACTTGCCACACGGAAAGCTCTTCGAGCTCGTTTCTTGGTACTACCAGAATTCCGCTGGAAGCTCATCGCACTAGTCTGAATGCTTAACGAGGTGGCTCTCGTGTACCCGCAATGCGGACAATACCTGTAGTGCTCGCCCCTGGCGAAAGCACTACAGATGACGAAGCGCTCTTTGAGCGATGGGTGCAACGGCACCGCAAACTTTCCTCACTGTATAGCCTACAATTGAGCCACAAGGAAGTGGACGTGCGTGTGGAGTGACGCCTCCAACTTAAATTGCCAAATTCAAGGCACACCGTCGACTTTCTTCGGACTGTCGCCCTGCGACGTATGGGCTGACCCTTAACGCTCCCGCGAGCTCTGTGTCTGCGACCACAAGAGCTCAGGTCCACTGCTTGAAATTAGCTCTTGGTTCGTCTACTTCCCTGGCACTTGCCGGGAAGCGCGGGGCGTCTGATGACGCGGGACGTCCTGTTCTCTCCGATCAAAGGCGTCCACGGCGACTGGGCAATCTTGCCGAAGTCGCATCTCAAACTCCCTCGAGTTTTCGGAGTCGGGATATCTTCGCCACTTCACCAGATATTGGGTTCAGCCCTGGTGGCGACGTCGTCTCACTAGACGTTCCACGTGATAGTGGACGTCACCGTTCTCATCGAGAAGAGTCGTTAGGACGGTGACGACTGGGTTGACCGCCGTCCGGTGACTCGTGATGCTCTTCGAGCCCTTGAGGACGAGACTTAGTGATCGGAGCTCTGCTGAGCGTCATGCTGAAGTAGCATATCGCTGTGCGGGCGCTATTGAGCAGGCGAATGCGTCGTTGCATGCGACGGTGGGGCGCTTGGCGCCATTAGAAATGAAGGTTGTTGCACTCCGTGCTTAGATCCAGATGCTGCTTCAGCTTCTGGGTGGCCCAGGACCCGTGGGATCCGCTCCGGTGGCAACGCTTCCGCGTTCGCGTCGGGTCCCGATACGGCTTGAGCAAGCCCCACGTAAAACGCCGGGTGGGTGCGCATCCGTTTTGGACGGTTCAGCGTATACGCTAGGCCCCGCTTGGCCATAACCTTAAACGGTCCGATGAACCGTGGACGAAGTTTCGTCCTGAAGATAGCAGAGGCTGCATGTGTAGACAGGTTTTTAGAATTTAATAAAACCAGGTCCCCGACCTTAAAGCTTTCCACTTTGCCTCTTCCTTTGTCATCTGCATATTCTTTCTGTAGGTCTTGGCTTTCAGCCATCGTATCGCGAACGTGTCGTAGAACACTCAGTCTGGTAGACAAAAAGTCATCGACTTCTTTGCGGATGGTGAGGGGGCTGACGTCAGGTAGCCGTTCAGCAATTCCACCCCACCAAGCCCTGAGCCATGGGATGGTGGCGTCAGAGGGACTCGCGGGTGAACTAGCCCGTTCACGTAGAACGGCGAGTAGCCGGTAGACGAATGCACTGCACTGTTGAGCGCAAAATCTACGAGTGGCAACATGGCGCTCCAGCGCCTCGGCGTCTCAGCGCAGACGCTACGAAGA